GTTCAAGTGTAAAGCCTGTGTAGACACTAAATTTCTGGGGTTTTCTTAAACATTATTTCAGAATTTTCTGATCCATTCACAATATGGTGGAATTTCTACCTAAACATTTTGCAGTGGTACTACTCAGGAAAGCTGTATCCTGGAAGATAACGATTCTTCATGAGTTATGAGTGAAAATTATAAAACTTGATGAAGTGATATTCTCAACTAAATTATTAAAATGCAATTAAAGACTACAACAAATTAGGTGACAGTGTTTTCAAAACAATAAAATTTAGACTGAGGAAGTTTGCATTGCATGATTTATAGATTCCCTGGTATTCAGGGATGCATGACCTTTTTTGTGTTTTGAAATAATTCTTACCCAAACATCACAGGTTTCTTAAAGAAGCCTTTAAAGTCAGATGTTGTGATTGTATGTGCCCTTTTTTTTTCCTCTTTTTAATTGGCAAAACTAAGAAAAAGAAAAGAAAAAGGTTTCCTTTTTAAAAACTGCACACACTTTTTGGGGGGGTAATAAATGAACATTTTTTTGTTTGTTTTTTTTAGAACTGAGCTCTCCATAGACAAACATAAGTAGCATAACACAGTGTCTTTCCTCAGACATCATTCTGTACAGTAAATCAACATAAACAACTCCGTTCTTATTGACTGGATTTTTTCCAGGTGGGTTAATTGGGTGGGGAAAATTAATTAACCTTAACATTTGGAGCCTCTTTTCTTCCTGTTAAAGGATGAGTTCTTTAAAAAAATAAAATAGAGGTAATAAACCAACAACTTTATATTCCATGTAGAGGGAATGTTTATAATGGCTAAAATTAGAAAAAAATGTCGAACGATTAGTATTGATACACAGAATGTTAGGGATCGTCTGAATGCATTGGGACAGTAATATGAGTAAACGAGAAACCAGATGGTAATTATCAGATTTCTTCTCAAGCTCAGTGCAAAGTTGAATTCCAAATATGTGGATTTAAAAAGCTGGATTACCTTTTTACACTGTCTAGCACAAGTGTCACAGCTTACAAAAGTCATGGTTCTCAAACTTGAGAAGTGAGTTCTCTTTCCTATGTTGTTATAACTCGGGAAGTTTATAATTTTGTGTTGCTTTGAACTCAAGCCACTCCTGTTAAATGTGGTTGTAAAAATGCGGAATTTTTCCTATGGAAGTGATCTTTAGCAGGATCATGAGCCTTTGTCAGATGCTTTAATTTTGCACAAAACCTTTTTTAATGCTGAAATTTGTTTTGGTACTGTAAGATGTGTGTGCGCTCTGTGAGTTTTTATAAAGTGTCCCCTTGTTTTATGTTCAGCATTTACAGCCGAACAGTACCAGCAGCATCAGCAGCAACTGGCACTAATGCAGAAACAGCAGCTTGCACAAATTCAGCAACAGCAAGCAAATAGTAATTCCTCCACCACCACTGCACAGGTGAGGGATTTGTCTGTCTTATGATTATCCCTCATTGTTTCCCACCAGAGTGCATCTCTAATTACCAACTGTTGTCATAGAACCTTGCATCTAACCAGCAGAAAAGTGGCTTTCGCCTGAATCTACATCATAGCCATTCTATACAGGGTTTAGAAAGAACATTACAGGTGAGTATGGAAGCTGTTACCTCTGCTCCCTATTTTAAGAAGTAAAACTACAAAGCATAGTTAAATGAGATCAAGACACTGTCTTCCAAGTTTGTCCTGTAGTCTGTGAATTTACCTCTTTAATATATAATCTTCCCCTGCTCATTATCTTGGGTATTTTAATTATTATTAAAATTTATTTAAAGTTACCATACTAAACCTCTTTTACTATTAAAAGAAATCACTTTTAAACCTCAGGCATGATAAACATTTGCCATTTAAACACATGTAAGGCTCAAAGGCTGAAATTTGAATCTCAGCATCTTAGAGGAAAAATTCATTTAAAAAACTCAAGGAGCCTCTTAATTTCTAGCCCAACTTACGACTATGATATTTTGTTACTTCTGTTCTAAAGGGATAGTTATCTTACTGTTCCAGAGGCACCTTTGTTTATATGTGTATATATGTGTAAGTTAGGTGAAAGAAGCTTACATAATCATTTTTCGTTATATGTATTCGCAAATCACTGAAATGTTTTACTAGTATATTTCTTGTCTGACACTTTGTGTCAGAGGTTTACTGTTTCCACATTCTAGGTTTCTTTTCATATTTGACTTGTCCATATTATATAGTGTCACATACGAAGATCAAAATTTATAATCCCTGAGTTCTTAGATCTCTTGAGCATTCTTCAAATTTGTGACTGTCAAAGAGATAAAGATATTTCAGTGGTTTGCCACTCTGGTTTATATTCAGACTACTGTGGTATACCTGTGTAGCTTTAATGTTAATTTGAGACCAAGCGATGCAGATTAGATTTGCTTTGTATTTTCTTTTTAGGGTTTTGTTTCCAAGACTTTGGATTCTGCTAGTGCTCAGTTCGCTGCTTCTGCTTTGGTGACATCAGAACAGCTGATGGGATTCAAGATGAAGGATGATGTGGTGCTTGGAATTGGGGTGAATGGCGTCCTTCCAGCCTCAGGTAAGGATAAAGACATTTAGGGGCGCCTGGGTGGCTCAGTCGGTTGAGTGTCCCACTCTTGATTTCAGCTTAGGTCATGATCTCAGAGTCGTTTGATCGAGCCCCGCAAGCCCTGCGTCGGGCCCCGCGTCGGGCTCCGCGTTGGGCTCCGTGCTCAGCAGGGAATCTCCTTGAGATTCTGTCTCCCTCTCTCCCCCCCACCCCCGTGCGTGCTCGCTCGCTCTCTCAAATAAATAAGTCTTTAAAAAAAGAAAAGGACAAAGACATCTAAATTGTTCTGATGTTTGTAACAGGTCTCTATAATAAACAGCAAAGTTGTACATTGTTTCAATGCTTCTTTCTTTTCCTCTAGGAGTATACAAGGGCTTACACCTCAGTAGTACTACACCGACTGCACTTGTACACACGAGCCCGTCAACGGCAGGTTCACCTTTGTTACAGCCTTCAAACATGACACAGACTTCAAGTTCCCACAGTGCACCGAGTCATCAAGTAACTGCTGCCAATTCTGCAACAACTCAGGTTCTGATTGGGAATAACATTCGATTAACTGTCCCTTCATCAGTTGCCACTGTAAACTCTATTGCCCCCATAAATGCACGACATATACCTAGGACTTTAAGTGCTGTTCCATCGTCTGCCTTAAAGCTGGCTGCCGCAGCAAACTGTCAAGTCTCCAAGGTTCCATCTTCATCCTCTGTAGATTCAGTTCCAAGGTCAGTAGTTCTTTGAAACCTAAAATGTTTGCAAAGTATGAGCTCTAACTTAAATCCTCTGGCAGTGCTCGCTACTTATTTGCGTTTTTTGTTCTTTTCCTTATAGACATTAAAAATGGATAGATGAGAATTCCTTATTTATTCAAGAACTAAACAGATGTAATAATTCAATATTTGTTGAGAATTTGAATTAAATGATATGCTGAATATTGCATATGTGCTTTGGACGTCACTTTCTTAGTATAATAATAGTTTACAATGCTCTCATTTTCCACCTTTGGGTGGGAGGAGTTCTCTTTAGAATGTTTCTTTTGTTCGTTTTCTTCCATAGCTTCTCATGTAAACAATTGATATAACCCACCTATGGCTTATGCTAAGCTGCTCTTAATAATGTAAATCATATAAAGGCTTACAGTATTAATGCCAGGTCAACTTCTACTCAAACCATTATTTTCTATGCAAATTTGTCTTGTTGGGTTTCAGTAGATGGTTTAGAATGTTTGCTCGGGCTCTCCTGTTTTAACTATTAATGGTAATTAGAATCCTGCTGTTTACAAAGTACTGAAAGGGGAAACAAAAAGAGAAAGACAAAGGGGTTTTCAGTTTAGTTAGAAGACCAGCGTAAAAGTGTAAAAATTAAATAATGTTCACTGTGAATAATAGATGAAAATCGTTCCTGTATTACAGAACATCATATCCTTATCAAATTAATTGTATAGGTTATGGCTATAATTTCAATATAAGGAGAAATCTTTTCATAACAGCGGTATTCGGGGAAAGTTCTACAAAATAAGATCAGATTTGATCTTGGTTGGGCAGAAAAGAGGAAGAGAGTTGGAGAAACACAAATGTGTTCAGAGGTTAAGGACTAAACTAGTTTGTCTAGAGGTTTGGGAAGGTTAGTAGTTGAAGTTGGAATGGTAGGAGGAGGGCAGACTTTGGAACAGCGTGGATGCCAAGCTGATAGGTACACTTCCTCAGCCAGGAGTGGCCCAGGATGGAGGCCCAGCAGGCTCTGCAGCAACGGACTGTAGCCTCAAGTTTCCAAACCCATGCATCCCTGTCTGCTTCTCAGCTTAAGTAATAGTCATCATCTGCTCCATTCAGATCCATTCTTATTAGCATTCTGGGCCTAGTCATAACTAATCAACCAGTTATAGTTCTTACTTAAATAGATAATACCTGGTTTTCATTATTAAATCACTTATTTTAGTCCCTTTGTTTTAAAGATAAGGGAAATAAGATCCAGAGAAGTTAATGGATTTCTGCGCACACACAGCAGTGTAGCCGCTAGAACAGCTATGATCCTGGTCTGCTAATCACCAGCTCCGTAGCTGCTCAACTTCACATAACCAAGTCCTGACAGGAATGAACCTCAGTCACGTCTGCTTCTCTTTCAGAACTTTTATGAAAGGTTTAAAAGAAGAGGAAAGTGAAGCTGTAGAGCCTAAAACCTGGGAATTCTTTATGTTTTTAACAGCTGGGTTGCTTGGCTGCTACTAGTTTTATTGGTCACATAGCTGACCATGGAATTTATGGTGGGCAGAAGCCTGACTTCTGGTTGTATATTCCTGATAATAAACTACAAAGGCCCGTATTCCTCTACTTGGGTCTCATCCCCAGAGAGAGTCACATTTCTTCCTATTATTAAAAACAGCTCATTTCTTCATTGGGAAGATAGTCTTGATTTGTTGAATTATGTATTTTGTTAAATTTGTTGCAGATAACTAATTGAATTGAACTTTATTTCAACAGGGAAAATCATGAATCAGAAAAGCCAGCACTGAACAACATAGCAGACAATACAGTGGCGATGGAGGTGACGTAGCTTCCTCAGGAGTGGAGCTGCGGCCTGGGGACTTGATTAGGTGCTATGCATCAGTAGCATTTTGAATGCAAGGGATGATGGAATGCAGCACATGCGTTTCTGTGGCAGCTGTGGGGACTCGACAGCAATGCTCATCTCTCATGCTTCAGTTTTTCTTTTCTTATTGTTAATAGGAAAAATCAACATCTGTAAATTAAGAATACAGCAATTACCTGTACAGTACTGCATATTTGTAATACCCTTGTATATATGTTACTTGAATACAGAAATGTTCATTTGTGATGCTTTGCACTTGGGGGTGGGGGGTGGGAGGGAAATAAATTGCAACAAAGAGTGTGAGATGTGAGATTGTATAGAGATGAAGTGTCATCACATCATGTGCATGGTGCGGAACCTGCTGTTTTATCTATTTATTGTGCCGTGTTTACAGTTTTTTGTACACTGTACCTTCATTGGTTCCTGTGCTGTAGTAAATGTGTTAGGTAGCTGTGGACTCCTTGGTATTTTGTAAATGGTATAACATAACTTGGTTCCCCTCTGGGTCCCTGAGTTTTCTGTGTATCATGTGAAAAAAAAAAGTGGTGACATACATACAGAATTTTACAAAAAAAAAAAAAAAAAGGCATCAGTTTTTAAAAAAAAATGGGGAATGTACTGTTAAATGGGGATCTTCCTGGTCTACTATCATTAGGACAAGTAACAAGCTAAAAATGAAGTCTCTTGAATCTTCCCATCCCCACTTGCCCACAAAGCTGTGGGTAGTTTCTGGTACTTAAAGCACTAATGTTATGTTGCTGCTCTGCAAACAGCCCAGTAGTCCCATTTCCTTCCACACCAAAAAGTGTTAAATCAAGTATGCAAATGGAGTCCTTACAACTGGAGTTTATGTTGTCTTGCCCTTTTTTTAGCACACACAAAAAAAATTGTACTTTTTTATTGTCGAATTGTTTAAAAGACTTCATTCTTTACTTGTTCTTACAAAAAGGATATAAGGGAGAAGAAATGCAGTAATTGCTGTACGTGTATCATCATTCCAGTTTCTAAAAACAGCCAGCCAGCTTTTTTCCTTTTAAGATTCTCCAGAAGGCTGCAAGGCCAGAACCACAAATATCGGGTGCCTTCCTTTGGAAATATTTGACCTCTCTTCTGTGAAGAGAATGGTACTTAACAGACTACTACTAGTGCTTTGTCAGTACCGAAGTCTGAATGCCCAGTCCAATGGCATACATTATCCTTAAGGTTTTTAATCCCACCTGGAAAAATTGTGATAGAATTCTCACAAAATAAACCCAGGGCATTACATGTTGACAAACTAATGTGTAGTGGTCTTTTGCTTTTATTTCCAACCCAAGAACTTCTATGTGACTTTAATTAAAATCACCCAGTAAGGTGGGGGGGGGGGCATGGGAATGAGAGTGATGACTTTAAGTTCATTTTTTTCAACAATTGAATGATTACTATGCTTAGATCCTAGAACAGTGGGGAAAAAAAGGCCTGCCCTCTTGGAGTTTGTAATCTGATTGAATGATGAAAACAAAATAAGGTTTAAATTGTATTACGGTAAGTATTAGGGAAAAAATTAATGCAAGGAATGGGGAGAAGCTGTGCTAGGGTGGGGTGGAGGTTTCAGTTTCAAGCAGGGTGGGCAAGGAAGGGCTCACAGACGTGGTTAAATGTGATCAGAGCCTTGAAGCTGGGGGGAGAGCACGCCAGGCAGAGAGGTTTAAGTACAAAGATCCCGAGGTGGGAGGGTGCCTGGATTGCTAAAGGAAAGGCACTGTGGCTGTGCAGAGGGAGGGCCTGGTAGGTGATTTTAAGGCCGTTGGCTTTTCCTCTGAGAAGGGAGTTTGAAGCAGAGAAGTGGTGTGATCTGAACAGGTGCATCCGACTTTGGTGTTAGGATTGACAACGGGGAGCCCAGTGAGGAAGCAAATCCACGAGAGAGACAACAGTGACAAGGATAGTAGGGATACCGTAGTGGGCCCATGGGCTGTCTAAGCAACAGAAATTGGTAAGAGGCCAAAAGGGAGTTCCAGGCAGGGCTTTACTGGGGCTTGTGCTCGAGCACAAAGGAAAGAATCCTCAGGCTGACTCCCCAAGGAGAGATCATGGAGAGTTTTTTAAAGATAAAGAAACGGGTAAAGAGTGATGTCTCAGCATGCAGAGGCAGGGACTTATTAGCACCTGTGCAGCTAAAAGTCATGCTTCTTCAGGCATCATGTACCTAATTAACATGTTAAATCTCAACCCCTGGGCATGGTTTTTATGTATTATAATGAGGAGGAAAGTTGGTGAAATGTCAGCGCTGGGGTCCATCTTTGTGCAGGCTGGTTTGGTCTGGTCTTTGCCTGTCTTTGTAGTAAGCGGCCTCCTTTTGGTAAGCATCCTCCCTCCACATTTCTGCAATAGTCTACTGAAGAGACAGAGTTGTTTTGTTTTTTCCTTGTAGAGGTGGCCTAGGGACGCTGGATTTCACGGTCAACTTTGAGGGGACCCAAGTCCAGTCCCTGCTCTGTGTCAGTAGTGAGAAGTAGTTGGGTTCTCTTCATATTTTAGAGGTCAGCCCAGTAAATTTTGTTCACTGAATAGATGTGAGGTACATGAGAAAATGAAGATACGAGGATGACTCCCAAGTTTCAAGCCTGAGCAACTGGCCACAGTTGGAGAGCACTGTGGAAGGAGTGGGTTTGGGGGAAGCTCAGTTTTGGCCTGTTAGGGATCTCCGTTAGAGATCCAAATAGAGTTGTTATGCAAGACGTCGCATATAAAATCTGGAATTTGGAGGAGAGGTCTGGGCTGGAGATCAAACCCTGAGAGTTCTCTTCATAGATTAAGTTTAAAGCCGAGAATCAGTGAGATATCCCCCAAGAGAGTGGGATTAAATCTTGGTGTAACAAATACAGCTATCACTAATTGCGTGTTTTAGAGTTACTCTTACGTTTAAGAGAATTCCCTGTCTCAAAGGGATAGATTTCCAATTTATATAACTACTTGTCTTTATTCTGTTCTACATTCTTTAAGGAGAAAAGACAAAAAGCTGCCTTTCAGTGCTAGTGGCTGATCAGTGTGACTAAAATTCAAACTGCTGCTTTAAATGTACTCAAGAATAATTAGGATTAAAATTTCTAAACAAAGTCTAGCAGAGAGAGTGAGGGGCTCCTGAAGTCCCCTAGTAATGCCTACTGTTCACGGGCAAATTTAGAAATGGATTGAGGAACAAGAAAATTAGTCTTCATCAAGCATACCCAGTTAGGGATTTGAAATGAGTCTTGCGATGGGGTAGAGAAGTGGCAGATAGGCAAGTAATCATCAACATCCATGTGGCACTCACTCCTTCATTTTAGCATACCGGAACTGAGATGCAGAGAGAATACTAATTCATATTGTTCACATTTTAAAATAATGAAGTTTATTCAAAATGGAGACTTGCTCAGCCTCTTAAGTTTCTTGCTATTTTTCCATGGACTTCATTACCAAGTTTATAATAGCCAAAAGTGAAGGATAATACAACAGAAGAATTTAAACACTAAGATCTTCGAGAAAGAGAGAAATAGGTCATCAAGGGAACTTTGACATCTAGTCAGTAAGTATCGTTTATTGAGTATTTACAATGTAACATCCTATGCATAGTAATTATTTAATCCTTACAATAATCCTTTTACATAGATGCTAGGATTATCACCATATTATAGGTGAGATTCACACAAAGTTACACAGTGAGTGGCAGTCCGGGATTTGAACTCATCTGCCAAATTCCAAAGCTGTTGCTATTTGCTTCCCCCTACTTAGTGGCTAAGCCCAGAAACAGATTTCTAACGAAATTTCTTAGTAACCTTTGTTCCTGTTGTGCTCCTAAAGAACTGCTGATTTTGTTACTCTGGTATTTGTTATGCTTTTGTTCGTTTCGTGAGCAGAAGCCCAAAACACCTCCCAAACTGACTTTTTACCTAGATATAAATTTTGTCTCTTGAAAAGGACTATGTAAATAGCGTTTTCTGAGCTCCAAATTGAAGAGTTTCGCGTATAATATGCTACAATATTAATGTGTATTATGTTACAGACAGGTAAGCAGGATTTCACACCCCTCACTAAGAGCAGATCTACTTGTATCTGTTTTATATATTAATGTTCTTTATAAAATATAAATTCAACAAAAGGATTCTGTTTTTTAAAAGTTCGAAAAAACAGCAACAGAGAAATAGACAAACGGCACACTGATGCAACAAATATTTATGAACTGTGCCAGGCACTATTAGATGTTAGGAACCCATCAATGACTAAAGTCCCTACCTTCAATGTTGGTAACATTTTCATAGGATATGCATCGATCATCATTGGAAGAACCAGATGACAATTCTAATATTTTCTCACAAGAGTGTATTCTGAACAAATCAGGCACAGAAGAAAAAAAAAGTTTCACATAGGCAAATATATAACCATGCATTTTGAAAGAGAATCCAGTCTTAGAGAATAATCCACCCTCCTTTTATAGTTCTATAAAACAAAAGGGGGTTAGTGCGTAGGACTCTTAGTATCACAGAGCATTCATCTTTACTGAAGACTTTGTTGCTGACCTCATGTATCAGTTACCTGTGGCTGCCATAATAAATTACCAAATGATGGCTTTAAAACAACAGAAACTTGGGCGCCTGGGTGGCTCAGCTGGTTAAGCGACTGCCTTCGGCTCAGGTCATGATCCTGGGGTCCCAGGATCGAGTCCCGCAACGGGCTCCCTGCTCGGCAGGGAGTCTGCTTCTCCCTCTGCCCCTCCCCCTCTCGTGCTCTCTCTCCCATTCTCTCTCTCAAATGAATAAATAAAATCTTAAAAAAAACCCAAAAACTAACATACTGTTGTACACCAATTTTACCTCAACTAAAAAAAAAGAAAATGTAATAAATAAAATCTTTAAAAAAGGTGAGGGGGGGGGCACCTGGGTGGCTCAGTCGTTAAGCGGCTGCCTTCGGCTCAGGTCATGGTCCCGGAGTCCCGGGATCGAGTCCCGCATCGGGCTCCCTGCTCAGCGAGGAGCCTGCTTCTCCCTCTGACCCTCTCCCCTCTCATGCTGTTTCTCTCTCTCTCTCAAATAAATAAATAAATAAATAAATAAAATCTTAAAAAAAAAAAAAAATGTTTAAAACAACAGAAACTTACTCTCTCACAGTTCTGCAGACCAGAAGTCCGAAATAAGTTTTCGGTGAGCTGAAATCAAGCGGTCAGCAGGGCCACGCTCCCTTTGCATGCTCTAGGGGAGGATCTGTTTCTTGCCTCTCCAGCTTCTGATGACGGCCTGGCATTGCTTGGCCTGACGTGGCAGCCCTCCAGACTCTGTCCATCTCTGTGTTCGCATTTCCTTCTCCTGGGTGTGTCTGAACACTGCCTCTGTCTCTTAGAGTACACATGCAGTTGCTTCTAGGGCCCGCCCACAACACCCAGGATCAACCCTTCCTGGGCCTTAATGTAATCACCTCGCTTGCCATATAAGGTGATATTCACAGGTGCTGGGGGTTAGGGCTTGGACCTATATTTGAGGCCACCCTTCAACCTGCTATACGATGATACTTCTGTGACTCCAAATATCCTACCGAAGGACAGTAAAAGAGCAAAACAAAGCTTACCCTTGTACCAAGCCCTTGTTGTAAGTAGCTAGAATTGATTTTTTTAAGATTTTATTTATTTGCCCGAGAGAAAGAGAGAGAGCACAAGCAGGGTGAGCAGCAGGCAGAGGGAGAAGCAGGCTCCCCGCCGAGCAAGGAGCCCGATGCGGGACTCAAACCCAGGACCCTGGGATCACGACCTGAGCTGAAGGCAGACGCTTAACGACTGAGCCACCCAGACATCCCTAGAATTGATTTAAAAAAAAAAAAAAATTCTGGTTTGTCTATCTCAAGAAAAAAAGTCCTCAGGTTTCCTGAAAAAGCATCTAGAAAGATCATGGATATAAGAGAATGGTATTGTGGATAGACTAAAAACATTGGTCTCTAGTCTGGAAAGGTAAGACAATCTATGACTACAGTCATTACGATAGATATACAGAGAGTGAGCATTGATTTTGTTCACCAAATATTGAAATTCTAGAAAATGAGAGCCTCCCAACCTCACACACACACACACACACACACATCTGATTCTGGGAAAATATGATTGGAGGAAGAATTTTGTAAGTTTACAGTGACTGAATTTAAGGTATCAACTGTGCTTAGAAGTTAGCTAAATTAAAAAGTTCAAAACAGTTTTAATGAATGTAATAAAATTGGTATGCTGTTATGGTCAAACTAGAGATTCTCTAAGATCTTTATTCCAAGGTAGCCATCATAAAACCATCTAATTTCTCTTAGACTAATCTGATTTGACTCGAGCCAGATTTATTATCACTTGAGCTCTTGACTCTAAACTCCATGCCTGTGCAATTCAATATGCTAACTACTAACCACATGGCAACTTAAGTGTAAATTAATTAAAATTAAATAAAATTCAAGATTCAGCTCCTTAGTCACACTAGCCACATTTCTAATCCTCAAAGGCCATTTGGCATAGTAGCCACCATATTGGACACATTTATAGTACTACAGAAAGTTCTATTAGACAGTGATGTTCCAAAGCCATATATATATCATTTCCACTTGGGTGTCTTTTAACACACTTCAAACTCAGTATGTTCCACACTAAAGTCATCTTTCCTCTTCCTCCTCACCCCTAAAGAATCCACATGTGCAATTTGGTTCCTCTCTACTGTTCTCTATCTTAATAAATGGCACCACCATTTATTTACCCATCTTACTGAGCGAGAAACCTGACTGAGATCCTTATTTTTTTTCCCTTCTACCTAACCTCCCACATTGATCAGGCAAAAATTCCTATATGTATTCAATTGGTATACTTTTTTCCATCTCTACTACTGCCACATTTGTTCAGACTACCTAATTTCCTTACTGGACTATTGCTGTGGTTCCCTAACTGCTCTCCCGGCTCCCAGTCTTAATTCTAAACCTTTCCCCCATCTCATTCTGCTGCCGAAGCATTCCTTCTAAAACTCAAATCTGACTATATTGAATACTGTTGGAGGTGAGTTCCAAACTTCTTCACATGGTTTACGAAAACCATCTTGGGCCATTTTCCCCTTCACATTTTCTACTCCAGCCCTAATAATAGCTAAGTTATTGAGCACTTAACCGAGTCCCAGCACTACTCTAAGCACTTTGTTTGCATTATCTCATGTAATCCTCACAACCAAGGCCCCTGGGTATGTATGGTTGTACAGGTTCTGCTACTATGACCTATGTGGTCTCATGTAAATGGCACACTCCCAACTCTCCACTGCACAACTTACAGATGAGAAATTACAACTTACAGATGAGAAATTACAACTTACAGATGAGAAAGCAGCCTACCTCGGGTCAGATAGAACTCCAAACCATTTTAACTCCTGAGTCCACATAAGTAATGGAAGGCCATAATTTAAATAACAGTCTAGCTTTAACGAAGACAAGCGTGAAGTATTACATTTGTGAATAAATAATACAAACCATATGTAGAAGATTGTGCTTTCAAAGCTAAGAGTTATAAAAACCAAAGAGGCTTCACTTCTAGGAAGAAATACTCCCTCTTTCTTCATCAGATTAGAAGACGGAAGAAATTCTTACAACTGTCCACCCTTTTCTAAAGTGAAGCAGCAAACCTTTGTGCTACTTGTTGGCCATTCCAAGAAATTTGATAGTTTAGGCATAAATGACATCCTAATAGTTTGATTATTATGAATTTGGGGCCTGAACTTGTGAAAGCCAAAAATTTAAAAAGATACAATTATTAAATCTCATTTAGTAAAACCCAACCTTATGTTTTAGTAGTTTTAAAATTTTTGTGGAAATAACAAAGTACTTGGTCCATAAAATCAATGTAGGACATTCAGAGAGTTTAAAATCACAAGTAAAAACTAACCTTAGTCATGTACAAATGAGTATTTTAGATCTTGGCAAAATTAGAGTGAAGACGTAAAGCTGGTTGTAAACCAATTTTATTAACTCTAATTTGTGCGAAAATTCAGTTATTCAGCAGGAACATTATACGAACTGTGCTGCACTATACATTATAAAATCCATATTTCTAAATCAAACTGTTAGAGTCTTTAAATTTTGCTTAAAAACTCTGAATATGAGCTTCTAATTGTGGCCAAAATGGAGTAACAAAGATCAGATTTACTCTCTCGCCTGAAACACAAAACTGAACAAAGTACATAAAACACTCATTTTTAGGTATCAAACATAGGCAACAGAGGATAGTGAGCTCTGAGAGAGAGGAAACAAATGAGGTGAGTTGTGAGGGGGACAGTGCAGGGAGGAGGAACTCAGAGCCTAGCAGTGTCACAGAGTTGAGGAGATGGAGCTAGAAGTCCGAGGTCAAGGGCCAGAGTTCACTGAACAAGTACCACAGAGTGCTGAAAAGAAAGACACCACCAGAGATTTGCAGAGGTCCTCTCTGATTATTCAGTTGTAAACATAACAATGTGCGTGTGTGAAGAAACTGCACAAGGATGAGGAAAAGCCACCAGAAAGATTTACAGGCAACAATTCTTAAAGCTTAGTCAGGGCTGGGAGCAGTTTTTGTACTTACTGGCCACAGAGTGGAAACCCTCATAACTCATGAGGCATCAGGCAGAGTACTCAGAAGGTTATTGCCTCAGTAGTAGGACAAATTAGACTGTCTGCTCTGGATCTACCTAATAAATCTGAAAAGCTAACTTCAAAAGAATCAAATCATTTCCAAGTAATCTAACTACTTCCCAAAACAAAGCTCAAGAATTTTTTTAAATACAAGAATTTTTAGGGGCGCCTAGGTGGCTCAGTCAGTTAAGCATCTACTTTCAGTGCAGGTCATGATCTCAGGGTCCTGGGATTGAGCCCCATGTTGGGCTCCCTGCTCAGGGGGAGTCTGCTTCTTCCTCTCCTTCTGCCCCTCCCCCTGCTCATGCTCATTCATGTGCATGCTCTCTCTCTCTCTCTCAAGTAAATAAATAAAATCTTAAAAAAATATATTTTAGCACCCCACAAAATAAAACTCACAATTTCTGGCATCCAATTCAAAATTATCTGGCATGCAAAGAAGTAGTAGGGAAATACAACTCAATCAGGAGAAAAATCATGTGGAAGAGTTCTAAATGGCACAGATGAAAGAATTAGTAGATAAAAAAATGTAAAATCTGTTATAACTATATTTTATATGTTTCAGAAGTTACAGGAAAACTTGAGCATAATAAGTGCAGACATTGGAAATACTAAAAAGACTCAAATAGAACTTCAAGATGTGAAAAATAAAATGTCTGATATGAAATTAAGAGTAGATTAAATACTGCAGAAGAAAAGACTAGTGAAATTGAAAACACGGCAATAGAAGCAATCCAAAATAAGACATGGGTGAAGAAAAGATTTAAAAAAAAAAATCGATCAGCTGTGGTATAATTTCTAATATATACGTAATTAGAGAATAGGAAAGACAGGAAAGGAGGGCCATACTTAAATAATGATCAAAACTTTCCCAAATATGATCAAAAGAATTCACAGACACAAATCAATAAGCCACAAGCAAAAAAGAAGAAGAAAGAAAATTCACCAAATTCACCAAAGCATATTATTTAAAAAATTGCTAAATATCATTGATAAAGAGAAAAAATTTTAAAACTAGTAACAAAATAAATAGAACAACTAGAAAAAAAACCACGGATAAACAAAAATAAGAATGACAGCAGAAATTCATTGGAAGACGTGAAAGCTAACAGAGGAGCAATATCTTTATTGAACAAAAAACAGCCTATCAATCTAGAATTCTATACTTAGCAAAATTACCTTTTGAAAGTGAAGGTGAGGGGCACCTGGGTGGCTCAGTCAGTTAAGCATCTGCCTTCGGGTCCGGTCATGATCCCAGGGTCCTGGGATCGAGCCTCGCATCGGGCTCCCTGCTCAGCGGGAAGCCTGCTTCTCCCTCTCCCACTCCCCCTGCTTGTGTTCCCTCTCTCGCTGTGTCTCTCTCTGTCAAATAAATAAAATCTTTAAAAAAAAAAAAAGAAAGAAAGAAAAGAAAGTGATATACAGACATACAAAATTGTCAGACTTCATCACAAGCAGACATCCACTACCAGAAACATCAAAGCATTCATTGAAGCAGGTGAAATATCAGACCAAAATCTGGATGTATACAAATAAAGAACATTAGAAATGGAAAATATAGGGCACCCAGGTGGCTCAATCAGTTAAATGTCCAACTCTTGATTTCTGCTCAGGTCATGATCTCAGGATTTTGAGATCAAACCCCAAATGGGGCTCCATGCTCAGCATGGAGCCTGCTTAAGATTCTCTCCCTCTCCCCTCTCTAAAAAA